TTCTGGAATGTTCTTCGTGCCTGCCCCGCTTTATAGCTTTAGAGATATATTTCTACAGGCGCGCATCATTCACACGGACAGCTGCATTTCCTGTTTCTGGTTAGTCAGATTTTGCACCACCTGAAGGCCTCATGGTGACTCAGTTTCAGTAGTGACGGCAGCCGCCTCTCCTTGGCAGCTGTCCGTGCCAGGGTGCTCTCCCTTGTAATAGGAGCGGCGGCAGCGCTGTAGGGTGGGTGCTGTGGTTGGGTTTGTTATTATTCTCATTTTACGATTAAGGTGACCTGGTTTGGAGAGTTTGTATGACTCTGCCAATCCCGGCAGATAAGAAAGTAGGGCTTCTCTCCCAGCTCCAACAGTATAACCCTAAGGCCTCAGAACCTTTGCTTAGTGCTCAGTCTTGGAAACCCACCGTGAGGACCCTGCATCTGTTAGTCAAAATGATGTGGCATTATGGCCACAGATGCATTTTGAAGTGTGTCTGGCCTGTGGTGATTGCAACTGGCTTGTGGGTGTGGGAAGAGGTCAGCAGCCAGGAACAGAACATGGAGAACAGGAAGAACCATTCCCAGGGCTGTCTGTGTGAGACTTGGACTTATGCACAGGGCCAGAGAGCCACTTGAGTAGCCAAGGCGTGCAGCAGGACTGGTTTTACAGAGAGGACGGCAGAAGCCAGTGATGAGCCTTCAATCAGGCCCTGCTTCAAAATGATGCCCTTGTCCGCTCCTGGTTCCACCCTTTTGCAAAAGTAGTCTCTTCCTCCTTCGGCTGGGTTCTCTCCCCAACCCCATTGCTTTTGATTCAACAACAGTGAATGTCCTGTCTTGCCAGTGGCCAGTGTTGCCTTTGGCAGTCAGGCCTCAACAAGTCACCGGCTGGATGTTTTTCCTCTACAGACCTCTGCATCTTCTCAAGTACCCTTTGGTCTGACAGCTGAAGCCCCAGTGTCAAGATTCTCTCCCTTCATGAGAATCCTCTCCCTTTTTTTCCCCTGGGCTACTTAAAAACGTGTGTAATTGAAAATGTTTTGTCCTTCCTTTGGACTACTGTTAATAATAATATTTATCATGTTGTGAGTCCTTATTCTACACTAGGTTAAAGATGTTCATAATTACCTTTAGTCTTGGTGGTGTAACCACAGAATATATGTGTCATTATCCTCTCTACACACAAGGAAACTGAACCTTGAAAAGGATAATTTTTTATTTGCCCGAGCCACTAAGCCAACCAATTGAATTGACTGCAAATTCTGGCACAAATAGGGGTCTATTTTGGTGGTAGAACAGGGGCAAGGCCTGGACTGGTCCCCAGCACCGGCAAATACAGAACCAAACCTGGGCCTTTCACCTCTCTATTCTACACACACTTGACTGTGAAACAACCTGAGCAGATTTCGCTTGAAGTATTTCAACTAATGTGCTCTCTCTTCCCATTCTTATTTCTAGTGTCTTCTACAAATGCTTCTGGGAACTGGAGGACCCAGTTAACCGTGGGGCTATCTGAATACGAAAATCCAGTGCATTCTCCCTACACCAGCTACTATGGCAGCATCTACAATCCTTTACCCTCTCCAAGCAGGTGAGGAAGTACTGACCAGACTCTAGGAGCTTGCTCCTCTTCTAAGGATACCTGGCCCCTACACTAAAGTCCCAGTGTGAAGATATGTAACATGGGATTTGGTCAACACGAGCCTACAGGCCAAACCCAACTGCCACCTCATTCAGTAAATAATGAGCACTATTCCCCATGTGAGCTGTGTCTGTGCTCAGTCTGCGGACAAAGCTAAATGGCTTTGACAAACAGCACGTGGCCAGGAAAGCCAAAACTACAACCAGACTTTTCGAGTTTTCGGAGCTCCATCTAGCTCATCCAAATTCAGCCCTGTCTTTACAGCTGTAGGCATTAAAGTCTCAGGCCACAGATGGGCTTTTTTTTCCCCCCTTCCATTTTAAGGGTGTATTTAAAACTATATTGTGGATAATGTCCACTTAAGTCTTCTCTGGAAAAGAGAAAAACTGCAGGAAAAATACCTCTCCCCCAGTTAAGCTCTTTGTAGCAAAGTCCAGCCAACAGTTGGTCAGTTAGATTTCACCACTTGCTGTCTTTTTGTGTTTGCTAAGACACAGTGGACACAACCAGCTGTTCTATTTGCCCTTTAAAGCAGTTCTTTGTAAACAGTAAAGGGAATGGGCAGCACAATGCGGTAGAGTGGGACTCTAAAAACTCCCTAGCCTCTCCCCCAAATGACTGTGAAACTCCCCTGGCACAGAAGATAGGCAGGTGGGTGGGGCAAATGATTATCGCATCATCTCAGGTCTATTAAAATGCATCAAACAGATTAGAATAAAACTTAACAAGTGCCCTCCCCCCAAAATCACAGACTTAGAATTACATGGTTTCCAATTCTTCTGCAGAGGAGGAATTAGCTTCATTCCTTCCTCTTACCCCAACAGTCCACACCTACAAAGCCGAGAAGACAAGCATTTTCTGGGTTCTTTTTGGGTGTTGTTGAAAATTTGATCTTGATGTTTAAATCCCATTGCCGCTTCCGGTGAAGGAGACTTAGAAGGACCACAGCTTGGACGGTGTCTGTGCTAGCGAACTGGGAGGGTTAGCAGCTCCCTGCAGAGCCAGTCGGTGTTCCGGGCTAATTGGAAGTATTTGGTCTCCCAATCCTTGTTTTTCTTCCCCGCATTCCACCAGAGTTTTTCTTGGCTTGAAATATTAAGCCAATTGTCTCAACTCAACAAAGGGCGTGCTCAAAATAGACTTGGTGAAACTGTACTTCACAGGATGTTAGAGGGCTGAGACTTGGATAAATAATGCTTTAAAATGAGTTTGCAGCAGGAACCAAAATGTGCGGCCCCAAGTTTGAGCTGAACCCTTTCAACACAGTTCTCATCCCTTTGGCTAATAGATTTGCAAATACTTTTCGTGTTTGAACAGTACTCTCCTCTCTGCTGAGTCAGACGTTTCTCGTATCATTAACACTGCTTTCATTGAATCCAGGAACTGGATTTTAAACATTCGGAGAAGAAAATCTATTTTTACCAAGTCTGCCTATGTATTTCAGTCAGACCAAGATGGCTGAGGAGAGAAGGCTGGGGTCAGAGGGGACATAGTGTACAGGAAATTGGAAGTTATTTAAAGCTCCATTGTGGTGTGGGTGGATGTGTACGCTCACAGGCACTCCTTGTGGAGAACACATAGAAAGTAACAAAGGACTAGAAGAGATAACAATGGAGCCATGATCCCGCCAACCAGAGACAGTGTTACTAACATTTGACACATTTCTCCACAACCCTCAGTCCATTGAACATGATCATAACGATGCAGTAAATACAGTTTTGCATCTTATATTGTATATGAAATTATACACCTCATTTAAAAAATATATCTTAAAAATTCAATCCTATGTTGTTAAACTTTTTGTTGTTTGTTTGTTTTGATTTTTCAAGACAAGGTTTCTCTGTGTCGCCCTGGCTGTCCTGGAACTTACCATGTAGACCAGGCTGGTCTTGAACTCAGAGATCCACCTATCTCTGCCTCCCAAGTGCTGGGATTAAAGGTGTACACCACCTTTTATGTGGCTATAGTTAAACATTTTAAACCTTCCATATATAACTAATTATTAAATACATGATGCTTTATCTAAAAGCTCCATAGTTGTTGAACAACTTTATGACCCTTTTTATTAGTAGTGATTTTAATGTATCCTGTGGGATCTATTTATCTGCAAGTCAGACCACCTCCTCAGGATTCATCCCCAAAGTAGGGTTAATACTTAAAACTAAAAAGTATGGTCTTCAAGTTCCTGCTTTTCAGAAGAATGGGCAACATTGAAGCCCCAGGGATTACAGAAGTACATACCTGTCTTATGTAGGATTTTAAAAACTATGATATAATCTGATCATTTTAATTTAACTTACTAACAAGCCAAATACAACAATAATCATTCATAAAACTTCAGAAATTTACCTTAAGATTGCATGATGCATTTTTTTTGGAAAGAGGTTTTTAAAGCTGCCATGGTGGTTCATGCTCTTGGAGGTGGAGGCAGGAGGGTTGCTGCAAACTTGTGGGCAGCCTGGGCTACATAATGATTTTAAGGTCAGTCTAGGCTATAAAGTAAGGCCCTGTCTCAAAAAGCAAAGCAAACCAACCAACAAAAAGCATGATTATTTTAAGATCAGAGACAGAATACATACACATGTGAAAATGTTATAATGAACCCTATTTGGTACAATTAATACATTAGTTATGCTAACAAAAGTAAGAAACACAATAAACTTTATGATGCAGAAGGAAAACTCTAGATTGTCCACACTAAAGTCTTAAAATGCTCAGCAACATATGGGTGGGTTTATTTTTTTAATAAGCTGTCTGTTATTTATAGAAAGCTAGGAGTTTTTATTGGCAGCTTTTCCCTAGTATGGTTTGGTAAACTTGGCATTGGTGGACTCCCCAGAGTGGACAGGCGGAAGTCTCTTGCGCTAGGGGTGTCTCAGAAAGGCAGGGTTGTGTTTTCCTGCTGCGGTGTTCAGATGAACTTGTTTTCTTTCACTTCCTGTTTCCCTCTGCCTTTCCTCTTCCTGTCTAACCTTCCCATCACTAGGCACAATCGAGGCCCTCTGTCGCAGAGGATGGCTGTGACTCCGGGAGTGAGATCAGTGTTAAGCTCTGTCTTGCTCAGTGTAGCCAGTGGGAGTAAGTATGGTACTCTGCCTGCTGCTTCGGTACAGGTACAGCAGGATTTTCGCCCTCTCTGGCTGCCGTGTGAGGTTGTGAAATCTGACTTTGCTTTGACATTTCCTGAAAACACTAAAAAAAAAAAAAAAAAAAAAACCTGAATTGACATAGTATCTAGTTCCCAAGCTCTCCTTCCAAAGGTTTTTTGTTGTTGTTGTTTTGTTTTTTTGACCTGGCTTTACTAAAAGAGTTTGGAATTGAAAACAAAAGTCTACTAACTCTCTAACCTCTGTTAACCTACTGTTAAAGAATGCAGTTTGCTTAACTGAACCGTTTGTAGCATAGGCTGTGCTTGTATGAATACATCATCCAAATATGTCTGTTTCTTTTTCTTTTCTTTTCTTTTCTTTTTTTTTTTTTTCTGGCAGCGTTCAGACCAAACTGCCTATATGATGTCATTTCCTGGGTCACTGGCAATTTATATTTGGCCCATAAACCCTCAGGATATGATGTCTATCCCAAGGTATCCCTGCTAACTTTAAGTATTTTTCTTGCCTCTGAGAACAACATGAAATTTATTCTCTTAATTTTGAAAAGTTGTCAAATTGTGCCTCTTTAAAGAGTTGAAATGTGATTTTTGTTAACAAAATTAAGAAGCAAGCACGTGTCCAAAGATTCACTTTTTTCCTATTATTAATAAGGAAATGAGCTGTGCTGCTTCAAAGGGAATTCAAAACAACAGAAGAGAATGAGTTCTGGGATAAGACTGTGAAGTTACACACCGAACCAGTCAGTGTTAAGTGGGACAATAAACTATAACCCATAGTATTTTCTGCTGCAAAGGACACATTGGTATTTCTTCCCAACAAATGCCTTTAAGTTAACATATAACTTAATACCTTCTGGGCCCTAATCAAGAGTAAATGAAAGGTAAACAAAGGTAGAACTCTCCTGAGAGATCAGCAACCTTTCACGTGCCTGTTAGACAATGCTCTACTGTGCTGGGAAAACAATATACACTCTTTGCCTCCTGTCCTAGGTTCTGGAAATTTTTTCTTAACAGTGCTTCCTTCTAACCTGTTGGACTGCTTGTGTTGAGGGAGCAAAATAGATTCATGTGGTAACTTTCCTGGTTCCCTTTTACCAGACAGTACGCAGAGACCACTCCGCTGGACGGTACAGATGGAAGCCAGCTGGAAGACAACCTGGAGAGCAGCGAGCAGAGACTCTTTTGGCACGAAGACTCCAAGCCTGGAACATTAGTCTGAATGCAGCTGGACTCCTGACCAAGCACTGCGCGTTCTCACACTAGTGTGCCTTGCAGAGTGTGTTCCTTTTCTAGAAGGATTTAGAAACTAAAGGCCTCCAAGGGAGAAGAGAAGACTTCAGTGAATCACACACTAAGCCCCACAAAGCCCTGGGTGAGGACTTGCCTTTCAAACTCTAGGCACCGACCCATCACTAAGTCTGATCCCATTGTGGGATTCTTGTCAAGAGAGTTGACATGAAGCCTTGACGCACAGCGAGCTCTTCTGAAGGGAACAACAATCATCAAAGGCAAGCCTTGAAACTGGGGACATGTTCAGGGAGTTTGTCCCATTGGAAAGGAGGATGGGATATTGCAGAGCACAGTTCAGAATGCTGAGAGAGGGGACCCGGAAGCTCCTGAGCTGTGGCTCACCGTTACAAGGTTTGAACTCATGAGCTGACAGAAAACACCCTGTTTCTACAAAACAGACGACAATTTAGACAGTATTGAAAACTTACTTGAAGAGAAGTTAGATTTTCATGAAGTTCTGAATGAATGTAAATGTTTTAAGATATTACAAAGTGATGTTTTCCATGAGCACCATAATACGGATTCTAGTCATTCTGATTGCTGTAGCATCCTGTACCATAACTTGATGGTAGACAACCAGAGGAATTAACTGGCCACCTCTGCTTGGAGAACGTTCTTAAGGTACATATCACCAATCCCTATTGTGCTTCCCGCCACTGACTTCTCGGACTCTCCACCTTGCCTGTCCTTTGAAATGGTAGGCTTGAGGTGGAAAGTTTGTGGAACCACGAATCTGAGAAAGGGTTTCGAGATGATGACAGAAAGGACCCAGAGGACAAAGCCAACTCGTATCATCATAGATGAATCGTGTGCCTTAAAGTGGTGAACAGTAGAGAGTTAAACCTACACTCTGAACGCCAGAAGTAAATTCGAGTCACCCAGTGACCAGACAAGATGGGCATGAAAGGATTTCCTCCAAGCTGCAGGAGAGTGAATCAAGGGACTTCAACTACCTCCTACCCCGTCTGGAGGAGCTCCTCATTGGCTGTTTGCAGGATTTTGCGTGCTTATAGGGCAGCCTTGATCTCTGTCTCTTTATTCGGCTTCGGAATCCCACAAAAGGTGCTTCCTCTCCCCTCCTTTTCTACGAGTTTCTTGTCCATATTGTGAATAGAGACATTTCTCAAAAACAGCTTTTCTGGAACATTTTTCTACTTGTATTCCAAAGCATGTAATATATACATAAAAATGATTTGTTAAACTGGTCCTTAGTCATTTGTATCATTAGAAGTTTGGGGAAAATTTTTTGGAAAAAAAAAATGACACAAGTTGGAAAAAATAATAACTTATTTCTTTTTGCATATTTGTATAGTCTTCTGGAATCGGAAACAGCCTTTTGCATATACTTTCACTGTTTTGACTTTTTGAGACCTATTATTTTTTTACGTAGGTCAATAAACTGAAAGTGTGCTACTGAACATGTTTTCGAGTGCTTGCATTTATGTTTAGGGTGCACAAGACACAGTTTGAGGTGCCCCATTCAAGAAGGAAATCAGACAAGATACAAATTTATTTACTATTACAATGTTTTGTAGATTCCAAGATACATGGTTTTTTTTTTTATATCCATACACCTGAAAATAGGGATCCTATCTTCATTGTGTCTTAGTGGAATTGACTGTGGTTGGATCTTGTTTTTCTTTCTTTCTTTCTTTCTTTCTTTCTTTCTTTCTTTCTTTCTTTCTTTCTGTCTTTCTTTCTTAGTGATACCTAAAATATTGTTTTGTTCTGTTGTTTAAGTGTGGGCCTGAACCTAGGTCCTTTTACACACTGCCCAGATTCTCTCCCACTGCAGTAGACCCCAGCCTTACAATCAGGTGCCTTGGAATTGATCAAGTTTGGTAGTTAATTGTTTCTCTGAAAATGACCGATGAGAAGTTTTAGGTTTGAAAAAACTAACTGATTGATAATGAGTAATTTGTCTTCATTTTAAAAACAAGCCTTTTACATTGAAGAAAACATTTCAGTCTCCATCTTCTTAGCCTATTCATTGGAGAGAGCTGGGATGGACATGAAATGTCGGGAAAACTCAAGTGAGTGTTTCTGTGTATGTAGCCTATGTGAAAATCCCCCTTTCCCACTCAAAAGACAATGTGCTCAGAGTCAGAAATATAGCCTTCGAAAAGAAACGAGGACCAGACTTCTACAGAGAAGTTTCCACACCAGAAGGGCAGTGGCTCTGCCAGGATCACATCTGCTTTTTGTAGAAATTGCTCACTCAAAAGCAAAAACTGATCAAGGCGAATTTTCAACACGTAAACACTGTCTTTTTTTTTTTTTTAGCAAAAATATTCCATACTCACAGAAAGCATTTGAAACACGGGTAGCATAGGTAATCATGTCCTGCAAGTCTTCCTCGACAGAATGCAATTGCTAATTTAGTAGTTTGGAATTCTTTTTTCTTTCTTGCTTTCTTTTTTGTTTTGTTTTGTTTGTTGTTTCATTTTTTGAGACAGGGTTTTTCTGTGTAACAGCTCTGGCTATCTTGGAACTCACTCTGTAGACCAGGCTTGCCTTGAACTCACAGAGATCTGACTGCCTCTGCCTTCGGAGTTCTGGGATTAAAGACTTATACCACCACTGCCTGGCTTCTTTTTAAGAAAAAAAAAAGTTTAGATTTATTTATTTATTATGTACATAGTGTTCTCTTTGCACATATGCCTGCATGCCAGAAGAGGGTATCAGATGTAGCTAGAGTTTTCCTGCCTTGCCCACAGTCAGGACAAATCTTTATCACCCGCCAGTCCCACAGCCGCTCAGACCCAACCAAGTAAACACAGAGACTTATATTGCTTACAAACTGTATGGCTGTGGCAGGCTTCTTGCTAACTGTCCTTATAGCTTAAATTAATCCATTTCCACAAATCTATACCCAGCCACGTGGCTCGTGGCTTACCGGCATCTTTTCATGATGCTTGTCAGGGTGGTGGCTGGCAGTGACTCCTTCTGCCTTCCTGTTCTTTTATTTCTCCTCTCTGTTAGTCCCGCCTGTACTTCCTGCCTAGCCACGGGCCAATCAGTGTTTTATTTATTGACCAATCAGAGCAACTTGACATACAGACCATCCCCCAGCACAGCCAAGTGCAGACCATCTCAGGCACCTGCACTCAGGCCCCTGGTCCTAATCATCCTCTATGCGGACCTGCTGGATAAAGCCACGAGAAACCCAAGAACAGGCTCCCACAGGACATACAGAACATCCCACAGCAATCAGATCTCAATATAGATGGTTGTGAGCCACCATGTTGTTGGTGGGAATTGAACTCAGGATCTCTGGAAGAGAGGTCAGTGCTCTTAACCACTGAGCCATCTCTCTAGCCCCCGTGAAAAAAAAAATTTTTAAATTTTGTGTACGTGTGCATCTGCATACATGTATGTGTGCAAGTGTGTAGATGCCCACAGAGGACAGAAGAAGGTGTCAGATCCCCAGGAGCTGGAGTCACAAGTGGTGGTGAGCCCAGCCAGGGTACATGCTGGATGTGAACTCAGGTCCTATGGAAGAGTGGCAAAGCACTCTATGGCGGTTCAGGTGACAAATGCCCCCCATGGGTGCATTTATTTGAACACTTGCTCCCCTGTTGGTGGTACTATGTGGGGAAATTATGGGACCTTTAGGAGGCAGAACCTAACTGCAGGAAGTGGAGTGACTGGAAGAAGGACTCACAGCCTCTCCCTGCTGCCTCTAGGACTCACGGCCTCTCCCTACCTCCTCTATTCCCTCTCTTTGCTACCTATGTGTGGATGAAAACATAACCAGCCAGCTTCCTGCTTCTGATGGTGGGAAGGCATGGCATGCCATAAATCCTATAGATTTGTAAGGTGAAATAAACTGAATTGTTATGAGAAAATTAATCCAAAAAGTAAATTACTAGTTGATTAATAGAGATCCAGATATACACTGGCGTGTACTGTTAGCTTCGACGGATGACAAACTACTCCATCCCCAGGCACCCTGGCACATGCCTGCATTTCCTGCAGCTGCAGGGGCTTTGGCAGAGGACTCCTTTAGCCCAGGAGACCAGCCTGGGGAAAGTGATGAGACCGTGTCTCAAAAACAAACGAAAACCTCCTCGGTCAAGCCACTGTCTGAATCCTGACTCCATACCTTTGCACTGGAGTTTTCAGACTGTATCCTGAGTAGCACTGACCTGGAGGTAAACATCCACCAAGATGCTTCACCCATGCCTCTTGACGAGGTAAGTCAATCACTGTCCTTTCTAATCTCAAAGTGCATGGAGACACAGCCCATTTCCAGAGAGAGAAAACACTTTCGGACAGACAAACCCTGTAGGTAACAAAGCACTTGCTTTGCCTTTCAGCTCAGTGTGCCATAGAGGGCTGGGGATGGATGGTGGAGTACTTACCTAGCATGAAGTCTTAGATTCCATCCCCAGTAGGGCATAAACTAGGCATGGTGGGGGGACATACAAGACCCCTGCACTTGAGAAGTAGAGGCAGGAGGAACAGGAAGTAATCATGGTCATCTTTAACCTCACAGTGAGCCTGAGGCCAACTTGATCAAGACCTTGTCTCAAAAAATAAATAAATACAACTAAAATTTGGAAGCTCCCTGTATCCTCTGTTTTAACCCTATCATCCCTTCTCTGGATTCCCCTATGCCTTTGCTTCTGCTCTGCCTTCCTTCCAGCCCCAGTCATGGGCCTAGGGATAGAAAGAGGGATGTGGGAAGGGACCTAGCTGGACATGAGCCAGGCTGACATGCATAAGAGCTTGATGTGCATTTAATTTAGTTCTCTTGCCAGGCTGGGGAGGTGCACTGAGTATCTCCATGTTATAACAAGGGACCTGAGCCCTGGAGAAAGTCAAGACATACATCCTGACAGGTCAAACTCCATGTCCTAAGCTGTTGAAAGTTAAGTGCTCCTGACAAAAGAAGCCAAAATGGACCCAAACCTGAAATGTTTGAAAAAGATTTTTTGTTTTCTTTTGTGTGTATGTCTGAGTATGTGTATGTATACCACATGCATGCAGAAGAGGATATCAATTCCTAAAATTGCAGTTACAGGTTGTCACTACCCCCATGTGGTTGCTGGGAACTAAAACCAGGTCTCTGTAAGAGCGGCAAGAGCACTTAGCCACTGAGCCATCTCTCCAGCTCCCCTCCTCCAGAACCTGGAGCTTTCTGAGCATCAGCCTGAAGCCACAAGTAAAACATTCCAGACCATGGATCTTCGCTTTATACACAAAATTAATGAAAATATGGTATGGCATTTCATTTAGGTGTCCAGCATAGTAGCTTGTGCCTACAATCCCAGCCCCTAGGACACTAAAGAAGATTGCAAATTGAAGGCTAGCCTAGGTTACATAGTGAGACCCTGCTTTCAAAAAAAAAAAAAAAAAAAAAAAGGAAAGGAAAGGAAAAAAAAATAAAACATACTAGGGGTAGAAAGATTTTCGACAGATTGGTGAAAATTGTGTGCTACATTCTAAGGCTGGCTCTCATAATTAATACACCTAATTTGCATTTGCCAATGACAAAAAAACAGAGTCAGACCTGTGTGCAAGCACGGGTCATGATAACCTGTAACGAGGATGTCACCAAATCTCAGCTGGCTTCTCACTAGACTTAATTATCAATGGCTGAATAAGCTCACCCATGGACCAAATCCACTTCTTAAATGGTTCTAGCTAATGAAGTCTCTTGCTCCAGTGCATACATACTTGTTATAAGCACCCATAAGCAAAATGAACTAAGTATTGATTAGTAGCTCTGAAACTGCATATTGATCCTTCCCATTTTGATGATTCGGGGCAGTGTAGTGATATGAAATATGGTGTGCTCTTTATGGATTTGCTGTGAAGCCACCTTGGAAGTCATCTCTGTGTGTCTGGGCACTCACAAAGAAGGAGATTAGGCTCTAAACAGAAGCTTAGTGCACCCCCAAAACGTCCTTCAAACACCCTCACCCTCTTCCTCCTTCATGGAGTCAGTTAGAGTCGGACTTCCTGGCAGGAGAAAATGGAAGACAAGTGGAGACCTGCTTTGGTGGTGCTTACCTGGCGCAGCCCTTAACATGCAAACATACACAGAGCACTACTCCATTCCTTCTGCTTTCAAGTACCAGCAGCCTTGGCAAGAACAGTGACCTGGGACTGGGAGGAGAGTAGGAGTTGACCCAAATTGGGATTTTCAGATCATTTTCTCCAATGATGATCATTCACAAAAGCACTCAAGGCTGAAGAGGTCTGTGAACATCAATTATGGCTGTGCTGGCTCCTGTGGAGTGTTGGAGAAGTATGTGGGTATGTTTTTGATTCACCCAGCGATTGGGGAATATGATTGACGTTGTAGAATATTGTTTTAACTAGACAAAGACATGTTACATTTGTTTATGCTGCATTTGTTAAATTATGGAAAGATGTGTTGCATTTGTTTCATCTTGCCTGCATAAGGCACCTGATTGGTCTAATAAAAAGCTGAATGGCCAATAGCTGTGCAGGAGAGAGATAAATGGGGCTGGCATGCAGAGAGAATAAACAAGAGAAATTAGGCTGGAGAGAAGAAATGAGAGAAGGAGGAGGAGAGGACAAAGGAGACACCCAGGGCCAGAAGCCATGAGAAGCAGTGAAAGTAAGATATACAGAAGTAAGAAAAGTGAAAAGTCCAAGTATCCCATCTTGACTGTGCATGGTGATCCTTTGAGAACCCCTAGGCTGTGTACCTAGGGGCAGGTGTTACATCTGGGTGCTGTGTTCCACAGCTTAAAGCAGAGAGGAAAAAAGGGGAGACAACAGTTGTTAATAAGAGTCAGGCAAAATTATGTGTGATTCAGGGAAGAGAAATGGGCACCCAACACCTCACTCGTGTGCCAACTGCAAATCCGTAAGTCACAGACGCAGGCAATTGGATAGAACGGGCTGTTTCCCCAAAGGCTTCAGTCTCATGAGGAAGAAGCATAACTGTTTGAATGACTTGATATGATGGTTAATTCTATGAAGACCAAGGGTGACGAGACACAATAAAGCGGGGCACAGATGCTACCTGAGATGGGTGGGACACATCAGGTCCCTTTGAGGAGATGCTGCTGCGTGGGGTCTTTCTCCAGAGTTGGGAAGCAACATCTTAGAAACTAAAGGAACGTGCGGCCAGCCCGGCTAATACAGAAGACATCTGGGTAATAGGAAGATAGGACCATGAAGACAGTGGCTCAGAAAGGTGGCCAAGCCTTTGGTTCTATGACCACTGGAATTTCAGAGCCTGGTGTGTCTGATGCCTAATCTCATGCTCTGTGATGGCCGTGGTGCTATTCAGAAAGCAGCCAGTGACAGAGCAACTGCTTTAAATGGAAACCAGTGAAAATGAAAAGGGGAAAGAAGGAAGAAAGAGAGGAAAAGGCCGGGGAAGAAGGAACTGGAAGGGCCGGAGGGCAGCTCAGCAGCGAGACAATCACAACCAATGGTCAGGGAGAAAAGTACAGTCCTAGCAGCTGGCAAGGAGTGGTTTACAAGACTCAGATGTTGTCCATCAAGGTGCGATTTGAGAGATTCTTGATGAAGGGTCAGGTAACAGCCAGTGCACTGGAATTATCTTTGCAAATAATGTGGAGGAAAATGAGCTGCATCATTTTCAACTTGTACCCCAAAGGCTTCACTTGCAGGGAAGGAGCCTCATGTCATCCTGTGCCTCTCTTTTGCAATACAAATACACACACACACACACACACACACACACAGACACACAGGGAGGGATACGCATGTTCCCTAGTCATGAACCCATTCTCTAGCTTGCCCTTTCCTCATTTTCAAGAGATACAGGCATCCTGAAAAGATCAAAAGGTGCGAAATAGCAAAGATCTCATCAGGAATCCCAGGAGCTCCAGGCTGGGAGAGGCATCCCAGCCACCCTTCAATTACTGGAGAAGCCTTTCGGGGAGTTGGTGGTGTCGGGACAGACACCACCGTCTTCATAAAGTAGTGGTTAAAGACATGGGCTTTGAAGTCTTGGAGACAGACTATCAGGCTTGGAGTCTAGCCCAGCCTCACTGCTAGCTGGCTAGTCTCCTGGGCCTGAGTTTCCTCCTTGGTACAGGACTCACAAGGGTACTGCATGGGTTGTACAGTGTAATGCGTGCAACTTACACAGCACAGCATGTATGTACCCAGCAGGTTTTTCTGAAGATACCCTGTAGGAAAGCAGTAGGAGATGTCCCATAGTAAACATGATCTAGCAAGCTGAGGTTTTTATCTGTGTGTGTGTGTGTGTGTGTGTGTGTGTGTGTGTGCTTGTTCCTGTGTGAATAGGGGTATGTGCATGTCATGGTACACTTGCCACAGTGCCTGTGAGAATGCCAGAGGACAGCCTCTGGTCTTGTGTAAGAGCGAGGCCCTTGTTTGCTCAGCACTGTCTGTTTATATTGTGTTAGACGCCCGTGAACTTCTGGGGAATCTCCTGTCTCAGCTTCCCAGCTCACTGTAGAGCCACTGGGTTCCAGATGTGCAGCTCATCACTCAGCTTCTTTATGTGGCTTTTCAGGATCCAAACTGAGGTCCTCATTGTTAGGGGGCAATTGCTTTAGCCAATGAGTTCCCATCCCCAAAGCTGAGGTTTTCAAGGATTTAGGGTGCATGAATTTAGCCACTAAAATGACAATACATAAATAATCATCACAGCTGAGGGTTGATTCATGTTCCGGACTGCTAGAATAATTTTTTTCCTTATTTAATCATCACAGCAAAGTCACTGCTATTAACTCCTAACCAAAGCTCATGGAAGTTAAAGTCCTTTGCTGCAGTGTGTAGTTAGGAAGCACTCAAGGGTGGATTCCGGTTACCACAGTAGAAGAGCAAGCCTTTGTGAGGCTGTGAGTTCCGGTAGCTCAGAGTCCACCCACCAAGTAAGGAAGGCCGTACCAGAGTAAGGTGAGTCAGGTGATTTCCACCCTCCTCCTGCCTCTTCGGTCCTGTGAGGCCAGGGCAAAGTATACCTGTGACAGCTCAAGAGTGAATGCCACCTTAAGTCAGCCGCCCAGGCACCTCCCCAGCTCCTGCCGGGTCAGGCCATGCCAGTTGGCCCAAAGACAAGTTCCTGCCCTTTCTACGCACATGAGAAAGCAAACAGGCAGGAGAGTCGGGTGGTAAGATTTAGCAAAAACTACAAGAGGCCAGTTAAATTTGGAAAATAGTTCTAAGTGCCAATTTTTTAGAATCTATTTTTCAGAGCCTTTGTAGGCATCCTGGGGAGGAAAAATCAACCAAAGCTTAGGAGAAAACCATTCAGTGCCAGTAGAGGAAGTGTTCTGTAGATCTGGGATTCTAGGTGAAGGAAAAAGGAAGACATGACCCTTCCCAGGTATGGTTGAGGAGCAGCTGGTGAGAACAGCCAGCGGCATCAGGAAGGGTCCAGACTGACCTGGGGGGAGGGAGGAGCAAGCAGACCAAGAGAAGAACCAGAAGTTAAGAGACCTAGAGGGCGAGCAGCCAAAATGGCTGAGTTATATAGCGACCAGAGTCTGGGGGAAGGGAGCCCAGCCTCTAGGTTGGAGAGGCTTAGGATAGGGGGCAGTATCTGGTTTGATATATTAATAAGCATAGTGTTAGCCAAGTGTCCTGGGTTTCTTTGAGACCTGACACCAGGCAAACCTAATTGTCAAAGCCTCTGTCCAGGGGCAGCTGGGACAGTACCGCACAGGAGCGAGACGTGTGCAGTGAGGAGGAACACACGGATGGTGTCCCTTTCCCATCCGCGGAGAAGGTGCCCGGTTCAGTGTGAGCCCTTCATCTGAACAGAACATTTTAGGTTAGGCCAAGTTTCTTCTGTGAGTTCCGCTGTGCCTAGTCTTTCTGAATGTACAATATTGGTTAAGAAGGACACCTAGAGGCCGTCCTGGCTTACTGCAGGCAGGAGTTCCTGGCTGCCCTGGACTGAATTCAGACTTCAATAATGTACGAACAGGTGCTATGGGCTACAGGTGGAAGAAAACAAGCAAATAAACAAAACAAACAAAACCCCTAGTTTCTACTTTCTAATCCTCAGCACCTGTAATTACTAGCTGCGTTCTTGGGGAAGTTGTTTCTGTGTTTAAAATCATCGCTTTTATAAGGTAGAAGCAACGGTAACAGAATTGTAAGGATTCAATAACGTTGAGGACCTTAGAACACAGCAATGGCCATTTCCTGGGACAAAGTAAGCCAGGTATTGTTATTGATTCTAGTGGGACTCAGCAAGGAAGAGGGTTGATAACATTTTACAGCTTAAATTTAAATAACAATAAGATAAAACTTAAATATTAACAATGTTTAATAGTCACTGAATGCCAAGGCAAAGATTGATGTAATGTAAGGTATTTTCTCGGGTGAAAAAAAAAATCAAACAAACCTGGCTGGCAATTTTTTTTAACACAGTCTTTATGAGATCACAATTCATACATATACACACACAAATTCTATGATTTAGAAAAAAGATTTTAAATACAGGATTGATATGACTGATATGACTGGATTTTCCTTTGTCTCAGACACCAAAAGGCTTGGCTATGTCTGGGACTGTGCCAGCACTTAACAAAGAGAGCTGAATGTCTTCTGTGCCCAGTTTAGATACAAGAGTGAGAGCCCAGGATAAGTGCTCAGACATACTGACAAAAACGAGGTCTCGTAATCAAGTACAGTCTGGAAATTACCCACACTGGAGAAGCCTAGTGCAAGTGGTCTTCTAAAGGATGGCCACAGTGCTGCGAGAACCCAGGGCCTCACACACGCCGGGTTAGCCCTGCTGCGCTGAGAGGCGTGCCAGCTGGTCGTGTTTTTAACTCTTTTTGCCTATTCATATATATGGGGGAGGGGAGAGAGAGAGAGAGAGAGAGAGAGAGAGAGAGAGAGAGAGAGAGAGAGAGAAGAGGAGACAGAGTCTGAGTCTCACATGGCCCAAGCTGGCCTCCAACTTAATATGTAGCAGAAAATGACCTGGAATTTGTGATCTTCCTGCTTCTATCTCCTACCTGAGTGCTGGGATTACAAGGGTGTGCCACCAGGTTTGATTTACTTGATTTTCCTGGGAACAGAACCCAGGGCTTTGCACATGCTGGGCAGGCACTCCGCGGGGCCCCCCGTCCCCCCCCCCGTCCCCCACCGACTGAGCTACAGCCCTCAACTACTTGTTGGCAAAGTGATTTGAGCTTCCGGTGTTTTCGACCCCAGGGTGTAATTTTCCTGTCCCTGTGGTAGTTTATTGGTGGTGTGTTTAAGAAATAAAAATAAAGAACACGCAGTTAAGTTTGAATTTGAGGCAAACAAAGATGAGCCTACAGTGTGCATCCATGTCCCATGTGTGTCCTGTTTTGTTGGGCAATGCCATACTTTGCCCCATCACCCAGGCAACCTAACAATTTAGTAAATAGAGCTACGCTTTCCAAACGGTCTGGACTTCCTGGGTTAGGACTCTGGTTTCTGTGCTCTGCACAGATCAGTAAATGGCTTTACTAGAGTAACAGGAAAAGACATCGAAAACCTGCTCGGTATTTTAGGTTTCAAGGCAGGGGCACAGGCTGAGCCTCCACTGGCATCACCAAAGGTCCTAGCATAGATGCTTAAGTGTAGGAAATGCTCTGAGTGTTCTGTGCTGCCCACCCATCCTGCAAATGGATTTGTTATGTTTTGATCCCCGTCTACTGGCAACACAAATTACTTCCTTGGCAGAACAACAACAGACCTCCAACAATCTACTTCCATTTACGGTGCAATGTGCAATGCAAATGATCGTTCACGTGTGAACTGGGGGCTTTAAAAATTCCTGGAATCACGTTGCCCACTTGGTGCGGAAACAGTCAGTTCCATCTCCTTGGAGTTCAGTAAACTGAATATGTTGTGAGCAGTTATTTCTTCTAATAATGCAGCTGTGTGCAGACGCAGAGATGTCTCTAAGTTCGCCTCCGTGTTAGCCACCATTGGAGGGTTTGAGGCATTCATTTTTTTAATTGCAGAGGAGTGAAACACTAGGGCCCCTTCAACTCCTAATTGAGAGCCTTCTGACCTAGGGAAGTTTTCCAGGTCCCTCCCAAATAAATAAATAAATCCTTCCCAGAGAATTAACTGCCTCTTTATACAACTGCCAACCTTAGAATTACCGTAGGGTGTGTGTGTGTGTGTGTGTGTGTGTGTGTGTGTGTGTGTGTGTGTGTGTGTGTGCTTTTAGATTTCAGGTACCCTCCTGGGCATAATGGTACATACCTGTCATCTTAGTATTCAAAAGGCTGGGTACTACAATGCAAAGCTTTGTCCTAAAGGGGTTGGGAGGGTAGGAAGGGAGTTCAGTCAGGGAAATGCTTAGCATGCAGGCACAAGAAGACATGATTTAGATTCCTAGCAGTGGGGCATGGGGGCATGTGCTTTTGATCCCACCACTGGGGAGGCAGAGGAAACTGGATGTCTAGGGCCTTGGTGGCCAGCCAGCCTAGCCTACCTGGTGAGTTTCAGGCCAGTGAGAGACCTTGTCTCAAAAAGAAGGTGGGTAGCACCTGGGGAATGATAACTGAGGATGTCTTCTCACTTACACACACACACACACACACAGAGGCACACACACAGAGGCACACACACATGTATACATGCACACACACACATACACAGAGGCATACATCCACAAAGAAAAGAAATCAAGGGCTGCGCTTTATTTAATTTTTTAAAAATGATTTATTTATTCTTATTTTATAGACTTTGGTGCTATTTCTGCATGTGTATCTGTGTGAGGGTATCAAATCTCCTAACACTGAACCCTGGTCCTCTGGAAGAGCAGCCAGTGCTCTTAACTGCTGAGCTCTCTCTCCAGCGCCCCATGTTTTATTTCAATATATGCTTCACTTAAACTCTGAAGCTGTATCATTGCCCATGTATTAATTCCCCAGAGCCCACATTAAAATAAATAAATAAATAAATAAGTAAGTAAGTAAGTAAATAAATAAATAAATAAATAAAGCAGGGCATCATAGCGTGTACTTGTATTCCTAGAGCTGGGAGACATGGGGAACTTCACTGCACACACACATCGTTAGGAGTTCTGTAAACACAGATGAGTCAATGGAGTAATGTGAGCAACAGAAACCTATTGCCTGGCTGTTTGAGCATCTAGGACCCAGTCTCTGTCCTGGCCAGCACCTCCTGAAGGCTGTGAAGGAGAGCCAGTTCCACACTTCTCCCTCTAGCAGCTGGTGTCTTCAATAGAGGTCTTGTTTGGCCCTGTATTTGTGCAAGCCCCACCCTGGCCTGTGCCTTCATTTCCTCCGGGCATTTACTCTGCCCATCTCTGTGGCCAGCCTCCCTTTTTATAAAGACCAATTGTGTGGGTCTAGGACCCACCCTAACAACCTCAAATTCTTAATCTCCAGATGAGGTCACATCCTGAGATTCTAGGGGTTAGGTGTTCAAAAGAACTTTTCTTCTGGGGGACACATTTCAGGGAAGAAGAAGAAGAGGCATCCAAATCCAAAGGTCAACTTTCTGAGCTTCTGAAATGAGATAAAACTGTGAACAGAGACAAACACAAAGAAGGAAGATGGCCACATGAGGAGGGATGCAGACCACAGAGCCTGTATGACAACGATCATGGGAAGGGACCAGAAACCAGGAGAGTGACACAAAGCAGGGACTTCCTTTGAGCTTCTAGAAAGTACCAATCCTAACAAACCCCAGACTCCAGACTTCCGGTCTCCCCAAACGCTGAGACAATCAAGTTCTGTTCTATTTTGTTTTAGTTTTTTAAAAACTATAGACTAACGGGATCAGTTTTAAAACAAGAACAAACTTACTTAGCAAACATTTTTGCCGGAAGGGTTTTGCAAGGTCAATTCTCATTCGAAATTCCCTGAATCATGATACTAAAAGGAGCTGAATCGTATCTGCATGTTGAGTTCTGGAAAAGGAGCAATTGTGTTGCTTTGTCTTGTGCCTGCTCTCTCCACTCTGATTTCAGATTTCCCAGCTCACAGGAGCTCTCTGAGGGACAGACATCAGCACAATTTAAAGGTTTGGGTTTGGTTTGTTTGTTTGTTTTATCTTTTCCTTCTCTCTCTCTCTCTCTCTCTCTCTCTCTCTCTCTCTCTCTCTCTCTCTCCTCTCTCTCTCTTGAATATCAGCATGTTATGATGCTAAAGGTTTTCAAATATCTCTTTTTCTTTGAGACACAGGGCCTCTCTATGTAATCCTGGCTAGCCTGGGACACACTATATAGATCAGGCTGGTCTCAATCTCACAGGTATCTGCTTGATTCTGCTTCCTGAGTGGTGGAATTAAAGGAGAGCACCACCATTCCTGGTTCAGATATCTTCATGTATAGCCCACACTCCGACTCTAGAATTCTTGATGAACAGGGAAACTACTATACATAGGTTCTATGAGGTAACAGCTAAGCCAACAGGGCTGGAGCTTGGTGATGCCGGAGTATGTGCTACACTTTCAGAGGACCCAGCTTCCATTCCCAGCACCTGCTCTCTTCTGTACTCCTCAGGCACTGCATACATATGGTACATGTACACAGATGCCTGCAAAAACACTCACATAAAATAAAAGTAAATTATTACTGAATACCTGCAATGTGTTGGTAGTCAGAATACCATAGTCTCCAACTCAGGATCTACCCCACAAGAGTTTGCAGTCCAGCACTAGGACTAGGCCAGGTTGATAGGTTGTAGTAGGACAGGCCCACAGGGTCTAGGAATTTGGCTCAAACCAGTTGCCATGGCATGTACATAACATACTTCCTTATGAGCCAACCTACAGTCTGCCTGAGGGCCTCACAACAGGCACTGTCAGAGTTCCTGATCGTGCCCAGGCAATGAGGGATGACCACGCAATGCCACCAGATTGGGACACAGCTTGGGTGCTGGGAGGAAGGTATATAAGGTTTTCCCCGTTTGCTGTTTGCCTTAAATTGACTCCCAGGGTCTGTGTCATTGACTCCGTGCCTTCTTACCCCCTCCCCCAAGGGAGTCATTAGGATCCACCAATATCAAGTAAATATGAAACAGTACGAAATGATGTGCCCTGGACCCAATTCATATGATGGTTAACACTGATTATCAACTTGACAGGATCTACAGTTACCTAGAGACAAATTTCTGGGATTGTCTATGAGGAGTTTCTTAATTGGATTAACTGAGGTGGGAAAAATCTACTCGAAATGTGTGTGGCGCCATTCTGTGAGCTAAGACAGAATAAAAGGAGAGAGGAGGCTGAGCATCAGCATTCATCTCTCTCTGCTCCTGACTGAATGCAAAGGCCTGCTGACTCACACTCCTGTTCCTGTGCCATCTGTGGTGGTTTGGATGAGAATGGCCCACATGTGCTCTTATATTTGAATGCTTGGTCTATAATGGTTGGAATTGTTTGGGAAGCATTAGGAGGTGTGGCCTTGTCGGAGGAGGTATCACTGGGGGTGGGCTACGAAGCTTCAAAAGCCATTCCCAATTATCTCTCTCTCTGCCTCCAGTTTCCTAATAAGATGTTAGTTCAGACACTGCTCCAGTGCCATGCCTACCTGCCTGCCCGCTGCCTTGCTCCCTGTCATGATGGTTATGGACTCACTCTCTGAAACTGTAAGTAAGCCCACAATTAAATGCTTTCTTTTATAAATTGCCTTGGGCATGAGTATCTACCTATTCACAGCAATGGAAAAAATAAAACACCTTCCCTACCTGATGGGCTGTGCCCTTGAATTGTAAGCCAAAACAAGCCTTGCCTTAAGATGCCTTTGTCATAGCAATGAGAAGAGTCTTTAAAGCAATAAGGAACTGGGTGTGGGTACCAACTAAGCTACTGCTCAGGTTGGAATCCAGGTAGACTTTCTGGAAGAAATAACTTCTGTGTATATTTTCATACAAATTCAATATTGCTACATCTTCTCAAAGAAAGAATGTTGTGTTTGAGTTGGCATACAAGTTGGTGATCCTAGCTACTAGAGAGGCTGAAGCAGGAAGATCCCAAGTGAAAGATAAACAGCACTGGTGGCGGCAGCGCTGGTTACTGCGTGGAAAGGTCACGGTCATGACAGAACCCAGTGTCAGTTTTTAGAGCTTTAATAGGAGGGAAAGGTGGGGAGGAGAAAGAGGAGAGACAGGCTCAGAGAGAGAGAAGATGGTGGGGTGGGGAAGGAGCAGAGCAGAACAGGGAGCAGGGAGAGAGCAGAGAGAGAGTGTGGGGTCTGCATCCAGCTTTTTAAGGCATGTCTGTAGTCGCCAGTGCCCCCTGATGACGCAAGACACAAGACCCTGAGCTGCGTATGTGCAGGAGTGAGGGCAGGATCCTAACACCAAGTTCTCAGCCTGCCTGGCTACCCAGTGAGTTCAATGCACTCCCGGGTAAATTATTCAACGCTGTTGTAGGCCCAGTACAGGCATGACATCCTTAATTTGATCCCTGGATCCCACCTGGAATGAGAACTGACTTCTTGAAAGCTGTTCGTTGACCTCCACACACATGCTAAAGTATGCACATACCCCTACAATACCTCTCTCTCTCTCTCTCTCTCTCTCTCTCTCTCTCTCTCTCTCTCTCTCTCTCTCTCTCTCTTTCACACACACACACACACACACACACACACACACACACACCACGTGCACAGAATAATAAAAATTAAAATAAAAAAAAACTGTCTCATCATAAAAAAGTAAAAGCAGAGTTTGGGGTACAGCTCAGTGGTGGAGTGCTTATCTGGTGTATGTAAGAGCTGAGGTTCAAGCCTTTATACTGAAATTAAACAACAAAAAGATAATTGCTTTTTTTGGCCTCTTTCTTTGGCCAAGTATCAGGGAATACTGGTGGTACCTGTCCAAGAACAGTCAGCAGAGAGCAGTCTGTGGTATTAACATTGTAGGCTACTTGCCAATTACAGGGCTTCCTCCCCAGCCCAATGGCTACAGGCTGTCCTTCCTCTAATGGGTCTTTTATCTTCTGCTATCAAGTGTATCACATTAAAATAATTATAACTTTCCTAAAATCCCAAGCAAAGAATGCCTTACAGGGGGAGGTTTGTACAAATTGCTTGTTTATCCTTCTTAATTTGGAAGGGAAGCTGAAGAAAGAGAGTTCTTGAAATGAGACAATAAGTGAAAGTTGGGAAATAGAAAAAGATTCATGTGAATGTGAAGTCCGTTGGCGCTGTCTCTAAGATGGCACACAAATAACTAAAAAGATGGTGGTTCCTGTACTGGCAGGTCACATGCTATCCTGAGAGGTATAGTGACTTGGGAGTCATTTTACTAACAAACACAATGATGGTAAGAGCTGCAATACTTGCGGTACTGCATTTCATCCTCACAGCATGTGGTGAGGTAGGTACCATCATGACTCCTGTTTTGCAGATACACAAGCAGATACTTATTGGGTTTCACACTGGAGGTCATCTTTCAACTGGGAAGGGGGGAGGGACACGAAGATTTGTTGCTGTGAGAAGGAGACAGTGAATATGTAAATACACAGTACCCAACAGCGCGTGATCTAGGCTTACTGGTTCTTTTCTTTGGGAACAATGCCATTGGGCCACTTTAGAAATGAGCCCAATCACTAATGAGCCCCCTTGGTAACTAAGATCCTTTGGCTAAAGTCCCATTTGGAAGAGCTTCACGGAATTCACGTTGTTAATAAACTTAAATTTCTGGTTTCAGTTAATGCAAGCAACTTGATAACCACATGGTAACTGGTAGATTTAGATGCATAAATTAGATACATGAAGACTATCAGAGTAGCTGTAAAGGTCCAGTGCACTCCTCAGAAGCTGCTGGCTTGACATTGACAGTTGGTCTGGCATAGTCTCAACAGAGGAATAAGGTTTTTGCTGGATGTGTCCCAGGAATCTCAAGGGATATGCACATCTTTAGCCCAGTGTCTCTGTTGGGGCAGTATCACAAGTTACCATGGAGTAGACTAGCAAGGTAATCAGACTCTGGAGGAGAAAGAAAATAGCTTTAAACTTGGAGGCCCCAGATTCTGATCAACAATATATTTTTAACAACTAGAACCATGGCTTCCAACAAGCTCTCTGCCCTCCGTCATTCGTTAGGAATGTACCCACTGGTGGGGCAACTGTTATTCCCTATTTTTACATGATCTGTGACCAAGAATATATGTGTATATCAATTTCAAACATGAACCAACAAACATGCTCTGACACGGGCTGTTCTTGAATGAAAAATAAAGCCAAATTCGTATGTGTCTCAATCTTATGGGGATGGGGGCAGGGATAAGATGGCTGATACAAAATCACTCAGAGAGAGTTTCTGTATGGCTTTATGCAGTAAATGTCTCCAAGTGCATTACTTCTACTTACGTTTAACTTTAGTAGACAGGTAAATGGTTGTTCTTTGGTACACAGTGCTATTCATCTCCAATCCATAGTTCCATAACTGTTCTGAAGTAAACACTGCAGATTCTAAAGTCTCTTGTGAGGCCCCAGGACTCTGTGGCTCTTGACCATATTCTCCTGGCATTCTTCACTACCACTCCTGGTGAAGAAAAAGTTCAGTGTGTAAATCTAACAGGGAATAGCATGTAGTGGGTTCTACTCTAAGACACATGGTAAGGGGAGTCTTACATGCACACACACACACACACACACACACACACACACACACACACATACACAGAGAAACAGAGACAGGGAGAGAGAGA